GGTAACTGCTTCAAATGTCAGATGGGGCAAAGAACAAAGAAGAGGGAAGGGCTTCAACTGTAAATTCCCCCTCCCATCTCAAGTAGCAAAGATGGAGGCAGCATGTCCCCCCTCCCTGCCTCACTCTCAGGTGCCCCCCCTTACATGCTTTCAAGGGGGAACATGTGTGTGTGGGGGCTTTTGCTACGGAGCCCCTGACATCCATGGGCTCTGCCCTCTTTGCCTTGATCCTCATGGCCACAATCCTGTGGGGTGGGGTGGGGGTGTCAGGCCAGGGTGTCCCATGAGGGCCCCACGTTCCCCAGATTCGACCAGGGGGCTTCCTGGGTGACCTTGCAGGAGGGAGGAGGTTAAAAGGGAATGGCCATTGTCTCCCCACAAGCCCCCCAGCTAGAAACCCCCGTGGGGGGGGGAAGGGCACCAGTGAAGCCAGGAAGAGAGCCTCCTGATCCCCCCCTCCCCAGTTCATGACCCCCTTTTCTCTCCTGCCCTGCAGAGCGTCCTGGCTCACGCCAATGGCAAGGACTCCCGGCTGGCCTGGGTGGACGCGGACAGATGCCTCCTCTCCGTGGGGTTCAACCAGGTGGGGCTCCTGCTTCCTGGTCCTCTGATACCCAGGGAAGGGCTTGGCCCGAGGGTGGGTGGGGCAGGGCGAGGGGGGGAGCAAAGGGACAAAACCCCGCCTTGTGTCTCAGCTGTGTTTGGCAGCATGGGTGCAGGATCAGGACCCGGAGCCGGGACCCAGTCAGATCTATACCCTGAGCCAAACTCCGGCCAGGACCTCGTTCGGTGAATTGTTTTGGGAGCTGGTGGTAGAAATGCCCTCTGCCCCCTGACACCCCCCCTTTTGTGCCCCTTTCGGGTTTTGGAGGGTTGAATTAAAGGGTTGCCCCGATGCGGAGCCAGCCTTTAGGATGCGGTTCAACAGCCCCTGCCTCCTGGACCAGCACCTTGGGGGGCTGTCACCCCCCCTCAACCGAAAGGAGCCTTTGGTCAGCCAATGGGTGCAACAGGTGGCGATTCCCGCCGACCTCTCCAGGCCAGCTTTTGTCTCCCACCCAGGCTGGCCAGTTATCCCAGTAGGCAGCCCAACAGTGGGACGTGATACAGCGTGTCCCAGCAGCCGGCCTGCAGAGACACCACATGGCCCCTGAGGCTGGAAGGGGGGAGCAGCCACCCCTGACGAGGAGCCCTCGAGGGTCCTGTCCCCATCGGTTTGGCCAGACGCCTTTTTAAGCCAGCCAAGAGGGCAGCCGGCCCATCCTGGGCCGGGAATTCCACCATTAAAATCCACAAAAACGGTCTGGACCCTGAGGGGCCTTCCTTCCTGGCTCCCCGGCCCTTCTTCCCCCTTCCCGTTCTGCCTCTTCCATTGTAAGCGCCCCGGGGCAGGGACCTGCCTCCCTGGTGGCAGGAGAAGTGGGCCGAGGGAGCTACGCTGACCGAAGTGGCTGTTTTCCAGGTGAGAGAGCGTGAGGTCCGCCTTTGGGACACCCGGAAGTTCAGCAGCTCCTTGGCTTCCCTCACCCTGGATGCCTCCCCCAGGTAAGACCATGGAGGAGAAGCAGGCGGGAGGCTGGGTGGCCTGACGGTGATAGGGGTGCGTCCGAGGGGGAAGGGGCGAAGTGAGCTTCTTTTGTGGATGAGGGGGGGGGCCCTCAGGAGATCTCCAGCTATTGGGATGATGCTCTGGGGGTTCTCCCCTCTCTGTGCAGAAGGAAAGGACGAGCCCTCGCTCTGCGGCCTTGCAAGCAGCTGTGGGATTTGCAGGAGCCCGAAGGGAAGACGGTCCTTGAGCATCTGTGGCCAACGAGAGAGGGAGGGAGAGACAGACGGCTGTTATCACTGCTGCTTCTTGGGTCTCGTTTCCTGCCTGAATGCTCTGGGGCCGTCTTGGGATGCTGTTTGCCAATGGGCTGATGAAGTATGTATGTGTGTGTGTTGGGGGGGGAGACCTTGAGTGGAGTTTTCGCCTTCTCCCCCCCTCCCCACGTGTCTGTGTGTCCGAGGGAACCAAGGTCAACTCCAGGTGACCAGGCTGGGAGAGCCCTCCCCGCTCTTCAGGTCTCCTATATGAGGCTGGGGGCTCATGGACCACCTCTGGGCTGTTAACTATCTTGGTGGGCTCGGACTGTCTGGGGAGGGTCTTGTGTGTTGTGGTGCCGGGTTTCGGCCAGTGTGTACGTGGGCCACCGGAACGAGAGACAGAGTCGCCCGAGTGAGTGAGCAGCCGGGGTTTCATGGCAGTGGCCGGGAAGGGTCCGTTTTCCTTCGGGGGACCTCAGCCGTCCTGCCAGTGGGAGGTGCCGTTCTGAAAGCAATCTTTATGTTTTGAGCGTTTCTGCACCGGACAGATCTGTGCTCAGCAGTATTACTATAAATTTCTGCTCCCTGAGAAATCCCTATTGTGTGTGCTTCCTCCCAGCAAAACCACAGCAGTTTTAAGGTATCCTCATCAGGGGCCATAAGAGGTCAACGTCAGAATGCTGCAATTACAGTCAATATTTAAGTTTGGAGAAGGGTGGGCTCCGTCTTCCTGCTACGATGGGAGCCAGGTGGTTCAGCAGAGCGATGGGTGGGGGAGGGTTCCTGGGGTGCAGGGCTCCCTTCTGAAAGCAGGGGTTCAGCCCTCCCCCCGATTGCTGCCAGTGTCCAGGACTTGCCTGAAAGGTGGCTGTTCCTTCCTCCTCCTCCTCCTCCTCCATCTTCTTTTGTTGGGGTGGGTAGGTTAAAAAAGCCACGGAGCCGGGAGTCAATTGATTCCAGCGTGCTGGCTTATTTTGGCTGCGGGCCTTTATCTCTGGTGGAGGAATGCGGCCGACAGGCAGGCAGCCTGTGCGCGGCCGCCTCCCTTATCTGCTTGTCACCCAGGGCT